GGTTCAGATCTGAAAATAGAATTGTATATATTCCTAGGATTGTGGAATGATTGATTTAGAAAGTTTTTTCTTTCTATTTCTTTCTTTCTATTTGTGTACTTTCTATTTTCTCTTCTTTCTATTTTTTCTTCTTTCTATTTATTGCAGCAGCTTACTGTATAAATATGCCCATTGGCAATAGAATGAAACAAATCAGTATTCTACCATTCCAAAACAGCCTGATTAGATCATTCTTCAGGTAAAAAAATCTAGGTTAATACATAAAAGCCCAAAACTTTCAACAAACATGATGAACTGACCAAAATCATTGCAACTCAAAACTATTGTAAGAAAAACTAACCTCTTCATAATGGGAAGTCAGGAATTCAGATACTGCAGTGGGATGTTTAGTAAGCAAATCCTGCTGAAAGTTTCGTTATTAAATATACTAAAAAAAAGAGCACATATCCAACCTTCAAATGTGGAATTAAAACTGAAAAAACATCATAATTGACATATAGGAAAACTGACCTTAAAGGTAGCAAAAGCATCAGAAGCAACATCAAAGTTAGGCAGCTCTACATATTTGAAGAACAACTCAAAACTTGTAGATTCCAATATATATCTGAAATATCACTACAGAAATTTAAATTTGTGAAAAACTAAAACCTTCTCAGCAAATAATAGTTTTTCATTTAAGGGCACAATAACCAAAAGAAACAAGTATTACAACCATTGGAATGTCTTTTTTTCCCCTAATAGATGCTACTTATACAAAATAAATAAGCAGACAATATTTAACTGCAATATAGTACAAACACTCTTGAAGAAACCCAACCATCAATTGTGTTATGTACTGCAACACTTCACCTTTGAAAAAAAAAAAAAAGCATGAAAATGTAAATTTAAGCAGATGATGTAGCTTCAATTTCATAAGAAAAGTTATGAATAAAATTTACAATAACGGGAAACTATAATTAGAAAAATTTACTTTCCAAAGGCTCTTTATTAATAATATTGAAGGCGATTCCCAAACAGTAGTAGAATGGCTAAACAAGGGAGAGGGAGTATCTTGGTACCTAAGGGATGTCCTTAAGCGTTTCAAATGGCTCTCTAGGGGCATGCTTATTCAGGTTAATTGGATTAGAAGATCTGCCAATAGTCTGGCAGATGGTCTTGCTAAGCAAGGAGTTCAGAGACAGTATGTTTTGGGCTCAGCTGTAATGTTTGGGCGGGTTMGACATCTGGTGTCCTCTGTTTCTTCCACAATGTTTTGTTTCTCTGCTTTCTTTTAAAATTARTAAAATCCTTTCATGTGTTAATGATAAAAAAAGGGGCGCACACACACACATTCCAAAGGCAATGTACCCCACAATAAAAAAAAAAATTCCCTTCCCACCTCAAATTTGGCAAGCTAATTTTCTTAGACATTGTCTCCCTTGGTACATATTAAAACTCAAAAGCATAATGTTCTATCAGAATATTGTGCTCCAGGTTTCATGGAGGACATGGGACCCTCCATTTAACTGCCCTAAAAATATACCTAGATTTGCTTTCCACCACAAGAGGGTGGAGAATAGAGATCTTCAGCATGCTTTAAACCAAGGATAAAAGCAAGAACTTTCGCCATGCTAATTTCTCTATTATATACAGTCCAAGAAACAAAAAGAGATAAGAAATAACAAAATTGTTCTTCTTAGGACCATGGAGGTCAAACAACTTCTCAAATGAAGTTCGTGCATTGTTTTCCAGGTTATCTCCTTCTGTTAGGCACTGAAGTTGATTAACGAATCAACAAATTCTCTCAATAAAAGTGTACGAGGGGGGAATTGCATTGAGGATAAGACAATTCAATGTAATCAATATTAAGGGCCTCTTTCTCTATTTATCTTCTGCTTTCCATGGGGAGGTGCTCCCTTTTATATTGCTCAACTAGTATAGTTATAATGCTGTGATGACTTTTATGGGTACTGGCATATATTTTAGCCTTCCTTTTTAGGGAAGGTGTTGCACCTAGCCCAATTTTTGGGCTCAGCTGTATGCTGATTAATAAGGCTTTTGAAAAAAGTTAGTGATAAAAAATTAATAAATTCTTCACTGTACCTCTACATAAGGATTATTGTTTTAATCAATATCTGCCTAACTCTTCTTTATAACTACTTACAACAAAATTGTAACTTTACCGAGAAATATAAAAAGTTTACATTCAAACTAAAAATCATATTAAGAAATAGGGCATTTGCACTATCAGAAAATTATGAAAGAATAAAATGGAAGTTTTAATAACTTACTTTGCAAGGTTCGGATACTTGATGCATTCTCTCAACATAATTCCACAATGCAATGCAATTTCTTTGTTATCATAGCTGTTTGAAGGAGAAAGAAATCACTAACATCCATACAAAGAAACATTATGTAATGCATAACAACCATATTAACTATAAGAATTTAGGATTCTATGGATTCTATATGACAAAGTGAGTAAATATCAAAGTAACTGCTTATACCTAATACATGGAATACTAGTTAACAAGAGTGGAACCAGAAATTTTCTACTTGGAGGGAGTCAATGGAAGTCAACATAAGAAATTTTTTGTTATATTACCATCAAAGCTGTAAATTAAAAATAAAGGTTAGAACTTGTTGGAATTTCTTGAGCATTCCACTTATTTCTTTAAATCATCAATCTCTACTTCAAATGCAATGAATAATCTAATATCTATTCGATCAGACATCTCATCAATCTAATGAAAACTTGTAGGGATATGATTACAAAGAAAATTTGAGAAAAGAAAAACAACACCACTCAACAAGAAGCTTGCTATCTTTAGGTGGAAAATAATTACTTTAAATAACAATACAATCAATAAATAATAATGAATAAAATCTAAAAAATACCAAAATCAAGCTTATAAAACAAATCCCACTTAAACAAAAATAAATTAATTTTTATAAAATTTAAACCCATATTAAAAATTAAAAGATGAGGATGACCGGGGTTGCTCCATTGTGACCTAGATGACCAGGGTTCAAATCTTAGAAACAGCCTCACTATGTACCTACAGGGGTAAGGTTGCATACATCTATCCCTCCCCAAACCCCGCATTGGTACGGCCATCATGCAGTGGCTGCACTTTTATTAAAAATTTAAAAGATGGAGCCTCAATATTGAAATGAAGATAATAGAGTTGATTTTGAGGAAAAAAATATACTATTTATGTAGAAATAAAGGGAGGGACCAATTAAGTATTTTTAAGAAAAAAAATTACTGACAGAAGTACAATTTCCTGCTCTTTATTTTTGCAAGGAAGTTTCTTTTTCATATCCAAGTAGTGTTCGGAACCATGGTGTTGCATTCCCTTTTAGAGTCCATGTAAGCACCATGTAGGTGTTTTTGACTTCATCATACCAAAATCATGTTTAATTGGGCATATTTAACTTCAAACATTTATACCACTCTTTACATCAGGTTATGTGCATGGGAGGTGTTGGGTTAAATTCTTTTTTGGCATTTACCCCAACAGAGGGAGGGGCTTTTAATTTCGCTTGACTGGTGTGGTGCCTAGTGGAATTTATGTGTTTAAATGTAAAATAAACAATTGTGTATTGTGTTATGTGCCAAAATACATCACTTTCCCAATTTCCAATACTCTAAAACAGGTATAAAAAGTTGAGATATAAAACACCATGATTCCATTAGAAGTTATGGTTTAGTTAAACTACCTTTTTGGTAAACGTGATTCAATTACTTAGAGATTGAGTTGTGTAGTTAAGCATGGGTCTTTTAACTACCCTTTGGTTTGATTCTAATTTTATAAGAGAAAAAATGTTAATGTTCAATCAGTGGTAGTTTTCTTCTTGTTTTGGCATTTAAGTGATAATAGAGACTAGATTAGAGAGAACTCATAAGCCTCAAATTAAAACAAAATCTGTTTTCCTTTTTCTTTCTTCATTGCTATTCTTTCTTTTTGGGGGTGGGGGGTAACAAAGTAGTAGGGTTTCTACCATTGTTTAGGTAACTATATAATAGGGAATGGTAGGAGGCTTTTACATGTTGATCCATAATACGTGGTAAGGTTCTGGTCTTATTGCTGATTAATTAGTATTACCAATAATAGTTATAATTAATTACAATGGTACGATATACTTAATTCCTCATATATTGCTGTTAGAATGGGAAAGTTTTGACTATAATATAAGTAACTGGAGCCCTTTTACATTAACAACTTTATTAATGTTTGAAGGGAGGTACAATCTGTAAAATGTTTGCACACAAATACCATTAATTTTGAAATTTCAGAAAAAATAGTTCTTGCTAACATTCTTAACTAGCAGTCTAGCACTATATATAAGAGATAGAAAGTGCATGGACATTTCACCAAAAAAAAGGGAAGATACTGACCACAATATATTTTACAATAAGGGCCATCATCAATTCATCATCATTGTTCCAACCACAGTGCCATATCCATTATTAAACCATAGGCCCTTAAATCATTTCTCATTACTTCAACATAAAATTACTATTTATAAGTGTCAAATCATGTTCTTGGCAAATTAATTATAAGCATCCCTTTTCACTTCTCATTGTTGCAATTTTTCATGATGCAATGGCCCACTACATAGAGGTAAAAAATGCAAGTATGTCTTATATTAATGACAATGTGTTAGTAAAAAGATATGTTTTTATCAACAATGGAGTAGTAGTTGGATAAATAAAAATAGAAAATAAATAAGTGTTAAAACTAGCAACAAGGAAAATGGTTATCTTGCAAATTAGTAGAACCTTACCACACAACAAGAAAGTCCAATAGTTCCAAATGATTCTCAAGATATTCCACACAGCAATGACTAGGACCAACCATTTGCCTCAACAATATGCACCAACAATGCACCAAACCTTTCCTTGCCTGTGTTGGATGTTCCATAATCAGTTCAATGCAGTAAGATCAACTAAATATTTGCTGATAATAGCAACAACTTACTTCCCATCCCAATGACGGTAACTTGTGAATGACAAGACTAATAATATCCTCTTTGCAGATCTCAAGTGTTAACTGTGAAACCTGATCCATATTTGGTTCAACTTCCCCATCTCCAGAAAGCATTTGCCTCATTGCCAGGAAATTCTTTTCAACTTCCTCTAGAGCCTACAGTAGTTAAACATTTGCAACTATTGACATCCAAGATAATTGCAAAAGCATAATGGAAAGAATAAATATGTTTATCAACTATGCAAGATGAAAAGAAAAGACGTCCTTGCAACCATTGCCAAAAGAATGCAAGTCCAAGAATGTCAACATGTATATTTATGAGTTTGCCATAATGTTTTAATTTCACTTTTGAAATGGTTAGAATATCTTAGCTTAATAACATGGATGTGGAGGCTATTTAGCAGGAGGAAAGAACTAAGTTTTGGAATCCATCATAGGGTACAATTTGGCTGGACTCAAGTAGAGCATTTGTTAAATTTTGAAGGGACTTTGCTCAAGTGGGCCCGATATAGTATAAAATTTTCAAATCAGCTATCCTACTTACACCCCTGTCCAAATGCATCCTGTTTGTCTATCTCTTATGATAGATTATCATCCTCTAGAAGTAACACAGTCCACACACCTGACACCCCCACCCACTTGTAGTGGTGTAAAAAGTAAATTAATAATACACCATGAATTGGATGTTAATTTCATTAGATAAAACACTAGAAAGCTATGCAAAGTTCCTACAAAATGATTTTATTGCCTACAATAAGAAATATCACCTCATATTGTGTTCACTCCTGGATGTTCTAGAGAAATACATGCACCAGGAAATCATCTTATCTTTCCCCATAATCCCAAGGTTGCCATGCAGTTCATCAGCCCATTAAGGAACGGGTTGAGCTATTGGTAAATGAACTAAATCTTTAATCCTTCTTCTCTTTTTGCTTTTTGGTACAAACGATTAATCGGGTGGTAGCACGGCTTCAACAAAAGCCGGGGGGGGATCCTAAACAATCCAGTCAAAAAAAAAAAATTTAATTGAAACTGATTTTTTTTTGATAAATAAAAAACTGATAATTCAATTGCTACCAGTATATACTCATTTCGCATTTTCATCAGGACTTCAGTACACCAACATACATAATTCAACTAATACGAGCTAATGTGGAGAAACAAAGAAGGGATTTGAGACTAATACACCCAAATTCAACTCGATTGGAAGTTAAGTTTCAGCCATAAAAGGTAAACTGAAAGACCCATAGACGAACTACAATCTGAGGTAGCCAACAAACACCCAAGTTCACCTTGATTGGCATCAAACTTTCACCCATGTGAGGTAAACTGAAAGACCCAGAATTAAAGATAAATAGTAAAAAAAAAAACAAAATCAATGATGGAAATGCATTAAGCATAATGGTAGAAAATTCAGCTAAAAGATATGTCAATGTGTAAACAAAGAGCAATGAAGCAACAGAAATTATTGATATGAGTGAAAACAACTGATTCCTAGGCAAGAAAACCAACCTTTTCAAGGGCTTTAACTTCTGCAACAGTCTTGGAATCAAGGGCGAGCAAACTCTCTCTGATCGCTTTTACGAGCTCTGGTGGGGTCTTTGGTTTCGAGGGCTTGAAGAAAGAGAAAGACATGGTCACTGCCTTCCTGCTCTTCTCTGCAACTCTCCCTCCTCCCACTTCCTACGCGCGCGCACTCGCCCGAGCATGCAACGTTTGCTTGTATACTCTATTTATTGCCGAATTGGCAAAATTATTGATCTGGGACCAATCGTCAGCTACTCCCTAAATCGCCAGCTACCTCCTATGGAGTAGCGTCGGGCTAAAACCGCGAATCACAGCCCTCGATGTTTCGATGTTGCCCCACGTTGAATTGGATAAGTTGACGTAAATGGGGCCACGGTAACGCATGGAAGGCCGTGATTTCACGGGTTTAACCCATCGCTACTCCAAGTGAAGTAGATGATTTCTCTGACTTCTCCTTAGACAGAAATCTGCAGTCCAAACAAAGTACCACGTGTCGCACACAGATGATCCATACCAACCATCGACTGGGTAGTGGGTACTAGACGTCGACAGAGCAAAGAAAATGGAAAGAAAAACTTTCAACAAAAGATTGAGAAAAAGGGTAAATGACACCAATACCCCCTTTTTTCATTTTCTTTTTAATTTCTGTCAAATATTTTTCTTTTGAAATTGTTAGAGTAAATTACTTATTCCTCCACTATGATTTTAGATAAATACTAAGATATTTGTGTTAGTATTTGTACACTTTCAAATATGTAGAGTGAAAAAATCACATATTTGTGTTAGTATTTGTACACTTTCAAAACTAAGTTTAGGGACAATTTTCCACTACAAGGTTAAGGTGAGAATGAAAATTTGGAAATAGATTCAATAAAAATTTGAGATGGTAAAATTGTATTTAGCATTTACAAAACAAAATTACTTTTATCAATTTCAAAAAATATGTTTCGGGCATAAAATTAGCATCCTATTATTAAGGGCACTTTGGTAAAATAGTTTTTTATCACAAATCTGTCTAGTGTCTCGTCAAAGGGAGTTATCAAGTAGGCTTAATAGGTGGTCTAAGTATTTGACCAAAATCATGTTTATCCTTATACATGTTAATAAAGACCTACACAAAAATTATATCATTGACCATCCATGACTTGTGAAGGTTAGTTTTATCTAACAATGGAAGGCAATTTATATTTTTTACAAATTTTATTTTGAGGAAGGATTTTTTTTTTATTATCTAATTTCCTAAGGCCAGCTGAATATTTAGTACATTAATTTTATTCCACTTGTGAAATTACAATTTGAGGATGGGGTTAACGAACTTTCCAAAACATATTGGTTCACATCTTTTGTAAGTTCCAAAAACAAAACAAAAGCAGCTGGTTTGAAAACAAATTGATTCTAAAAACCATGGTTTTTAAAATCGAGCAGGAGACTAAATTGGTTAGGGGTTTAGTTATCGGGTCGAACGGTCTGATCGTTCGAATCGAACGCTTGGCTCATTCTGACAAAAAATAAAAAAATAAAAACGGTCAAAATCGTTCGAACGGTTAGCCGCCCGATTCAGCGGTTTGCTAACCAAAATCAATGGTTTTGGGGGGAAATGGAACCGATCACCTGACCGGTTCTCGGTTTTTTTGGTCTAACCGTCTGGTCTGGTCCAGTTTTGAAAACCATGCTAAAAACAAGCACACACACAGAAAACATGTTTTTGATTATGTGCCTTTTGTTGCAAAACTGAAAAAAAAAAGTATTATTGAATTTCTGGTTTAAAGAACATGGTTTCATGTGGTTTATTTATCGGGTGTTCTAACAATATTTTGATAATGTGGCAATTGTTTTTATTTTCAAATTTCAAAAAAAAAAAACCATGTTGTCGAATATGCTCTGCAAATCATATAATTTTCATTCTACAAGATCTATTTTCGTTCTAAAAAGGTCATTATATTGATGATTTCATGAACTTTTTTTGAAACGAAACCAACTTGATTTTGCTTTTCAAAACAAATTCAAGAATATACATTTTTCTTGGTGATGTAATGATTTCAATAAACAGGTAAATAAATAAATAAACAACTTCATTCATCTTTCTATAATGACATTTTAACAACATTTATTGGCTAATATGGTAGAATGAAATTACCTCTCAATTAATTTTTGCTTGTCTGAATTTGGATATGTTGGTCTAGCTGGTATAACTAATTTAGCAACACCACTAACGTATTCAAATAAGGTATTGACAATAATCATTTCTCTGATGCAATGAAAAATTACCAAATCACTCTCATCATTTTTTCATATTAATGGTGTAAAAGAGATGAGAAGTTGTCCTTATATTAAGAATTTAAGATGTAAGGTCTCAGGTCTCCTGATAGTCTAATTTGTTTAGCTTGAATGGTTGAACCGGTAATCCATCACCCACAAATAAAATTGGGTTGATCACAGGCTTAATTCTTAAAAAACTAATGTAAACAAAGGTGGTTAAAGCTGGGTTGAAATCTTAAAAACACCTCCCAACACATTCAAATATATAATACTAGACTTTGGGTCCAATTGGATATATTTAAATCTAATATTGATTTGTTTATATTTGCATTCAAATTGAAAGTTGCCAGTTTGATTTAAATCGAATTTGGAAAGGTAGATATAAGATATTGAATGGTATTAATCATCATCTTCATCCATGCCTTATCCGAAATGATGATCAAAATATTATATTTATACATTATCAATATGGGTAAGTTTCTAAAATCTCCCTTGAAGTTTCTAATTGTTGCTGAAATCTCCCCCAAAGCTTAGTAATTGCAATTGTCTGTCCTAGACTTTCTAATAATACAGTTGCAAGTAAACCCCCTTTGGTAAAGTCTTTTAAAAAAAATGCATGAAAATGTCCAAAATACCCATGTAGTTACTATTGAGGTTGGTTTCTATGGGAAAAAAATAATGCAAACTTTATGAACAACAAAAACAAAGAGAACTTAAAGTTGCAGCTTTACCTTTGAGTGATTGATATGAAGGGCAAATTTAAAAAATAAATTAGTTTCAGAAAAAGAGATTGGAAGAGTTTGGGTAGTGATTCATGTGAAGAGAAAATTTGGAAAACAAGCAATTTTGCTAAAGGTAACCACATGGATATTTTGGATATTTCATGCATTTTTTAGAAAATTTTACTAGAGGGGTCTACTTGCAAATATATCAAAAAGTTCAGGGAGGTGATTGCAATTACCAAACTTTAGGGGAAGTTTCAGCAACAACCAGAAACTTCAAGAGAGGATTCATGAATTTACCCTATCAATTATGAACCAACAAAGACACAACGGTTGCAAGAACATCTCCCATAAACATCATACAATTACGAGAGATGTTTCTGATTAATATATTGTGGATTGCATGTTCGGATTCCAACCTACTCGCATGGTTATTGAATCTGGGAATAAATATTCCATGTGGCAACTTTACGGGTCTTAAAAATGAATCCCCATTCTTCTTTGCCCAACCTTCCTTCATTGGGATAAATTTCAACCCAATATACTTTCCCATATTTTTAGAGAAAGCCTTTTGTTGCCCTTACAAAATTGAAAGTATGATTACTCTTACTTGGGGAAAACTCTAATGCTCATTTAGTATTACGGATCTTAGCTATCTATTGGATAACAAGTAGTTTTGAATTTAAGGATTGGCTATCTTGAAATAGTCAATAGCTTGATTTCCATTAATGGATCAACTCTTCCCTGCCATTAGTTGGTGCAACTACTAAATATGCATAATTCCACCTTCGCGTATGATTACTTGATGCCATTGAAGGACTTATGACTATTTGGGATATTTTTCTTTTAGCCCGGCTTCTTCATCTTTTCACTATCATACTTTACATAATAAATCTTTCTTTTATAAGTATAATATCGATGCTATTAAAAGCCACTTTAGCTCTTGCTTAAAAAAGGCAATAAGAGAAGTTTAGCCAATAATGTCTCAATCGGGTTATTCGATGTTAGCTCTTTGGAGAAATTTGACACATGGATTATTCAGCCAATCCCTTGCCAGGGTGAGAATTTTTAGGCCCAAAGTACAATTGGCATAGGTGCCAGCTCGGAATTGATGCCAATTCACAAGCGGGCATTGGTGTATAGAGTGGGGAGTTTTTGACATTTTGAATGTTTATAGGTTTGTAGTGGAATTCAGAAATCTGCATTGGGCCTGTCCGTACTTTTCCGTCAAATCTTTTCATGTTGTAGAAATAGTTGGGATCATCTAAGTAGGATTCCCTGATTGATTTGATTAAGAAACCTTCCACCCATATTTCATATTTGTAGTTGTGTTACACTTGTTATTTCTCTTATTACATGCAACACACATTGCATCTAAAAACTTTATTTGTTTGTTTGGGGTAAGGGGGTTTATACGATTAGGATTTTTTTAAAACATATATGTATTATTCTTTACCCTTTTCTTAAAAGCTAATCTAATGATTTAAAAGGCATGTGAAGCTCCAACTTTGAAGCTCACGCCTAAAACTATAATGCACGATTACATTGAGAAATATCTTATGTCATGAACATTTGTTTCTTGCATTAATTGAAGTTAAGGCCTCATCACAAAATGGGTTGAACCAATTCTACAATTTAGTATGCACTATAGTGCAAAGCATACCTAATGGGTGACATCACAATTAGAAAATTTATCAAATTCACAAATGAGCTTGTAGGTTTATAGGAGATCGGATTCAACCCTCATAAGACCATGCTCACATTGTACTCACAGCCATTTGCAATTATGTATTGGTAATATCTCTATACTTATAAGTTTTCATTCAATGGGAGATATTCCCAATGCATAACTGCAAGTGGTTGTGAGGATGGTGTGAGTAGGTCTTGTGAGGATTGAATCTGAGTTTGGTTTATAGGGGGTATGGCAATATGAGGTAAGTTTTAAGTTGTAGCGAGTTTATAAAAATAGTTGCAATATTTTTTACCATCTTAATAGATAAAATTCAAACATTGAATTATTATATATATAAATATTCATAAGAAATTCAATAGGACTTTCATTGTCATGTGGTTGTTCATGTCTAACATCTAGATGTAATTAATTTTAACCATTCTAAAGAAAGTCGTAAATCTTCATTCAAAGGATCWTCTTAAAATAAGTTAATAATATTCTCCAGAATATGAAAAAAAGTCCATACACATGGGTATGACTAGTTT